GCGGGGCCCCCTGCGCAAGGCGGGGCCCCATGGCTGCGTGATTGGCCTGTACGGAGGGGCGGCCCTGATGACTGTGCACCAACACCCAACCACTTTCTGTAGAGGTCATGTGAAATAGCCTACTGGCAGCAGCGTGTTTGCACTTTAAGAGACCAGATTCACTGAGGCATGATTTATTACTTGGTTGTCTACATGTTGTCTATATGACGGTTTGTGTGTATGTCCGTTCCTTTAGGAGATAGTAGCCTCCAGAGGCAGGCAGCCTGTGAAGAGAATCCAATATGCTGTTCCATAATGAAGGCTCTCAAGGGGGATCACAACACTGCTTAGCAGGCTTTGTACAGTCCATTCAATCAGAGACTGCCAACATGCTGGGATTTAGATGCAGCCACCCTCACCACTGGCTCTCTGAGAAAAAGAGATAGTGATGCCAAAACAGTGTGAACAAGACAAAACAACTTTTAGAGCTTTGGTGTTACACTCTTCTGTCACAGTAAATCATAACATTACAGTATGATTGTGTTAGATGAGAGGATGAAATTGTATGAAACTGCTGCACAATGAGTAACTTCTTTATGTACAGCATGTATCATCTATGTCAAAGGTTGTACAGCTTATTTGCTGTGACAATCAATTCACTATCCTGGGATTAGACAGCAAACACTGCAGTAGGAGAGAACAGTACGTACATGACACCAACTGGCATTTGTGGGGAAATTACTTTTCGCTGGAGCAAGCGAAACTGCGGTTCTGGCTCACAGGCAATTATAAAACCTCTGTCTTTGGAAGTGTTTATATCAGCACATACTGCATAGCCGCACGTGGAAACATGTAGACAGTTATATGGTTTTGCTGTGCTGTAGAGGTGTTGTGGTAAAGATTAATGCACTGTCAAATACAGCCTTCACTTTTATTTGCCGAAAAGTGTCAGTCAATCGATTCACCTAAAGACATTTGAACTCATTTACATTCAGCTGTGCCGATCATCCCTCATATCAGGTAAAAATCTATACACTTTGTCAAGGGAGGTTGGCGTGTGAGAGTGAGAGCACAGGCAGTGACAGATTGTTTCGATCAAACTCTATTACCATCTAAAGGCAAGTGATTTGACTTTGCATGGGGCAAAGGCTCGAAGATGCCGATCTCGTTATTGGATTTCCTATGATAATGCCATAAAATGTCATCAGCTGAAAAAGAGACGCATCTATCATGCACGAGCAAGTGTCATAAGTAATGACACTTTATTATCGGTGCTTCTGTGTGATTTTCCTGCACGTGTATGCCTGTGTGTGAGTGTGACCAGCTTTTAATGTGGAAAAGATTGGCTGGGGAATAGAGGTTGTGTTGATGGCTGTGGAGATTTGGTACCATCTGACTCCTTGCTCTTTCTGACCTAAAGGCATGTTCTGCTGAATGGTGAGAGATGTCTGCAGCCCAGGCCTCATCTGGGCAGAATGGAGATGTCACGCTGAGACTACAGGCTACATAACACTCCCACGGTTTGGCTGAACTACTCGAGAACGGGCTGACATTTGAAGTAAGGAGTTGTAAAGGGCTCTTAAAAATAAGGGCTGAATTGAAAGTAGTGCTATATCCCATCTAGAGGCAAATGCAGACAGATGGCCACAGTAAAGCCAAGCACAGTTTGAAGGAAACATTGGATGGAAACTCTGAATGTATCACTTCAGCTGTTCGAGCAAAACTACAATTACATTCGAGTGGAGAATTTGTTAAAAAAGGTTTGTCAATTTTTATAATTGGAATGACCCTTTGAAGTGATCATGATGGTAATCAATAGGATGTTAGAGTGGGTGTTTCTGGCACAACACTTCATTATAACACAACATAAAAAAATGAGAACAATCCAAGTTTAAATATTGACTGATCTTTATTCATATTGAATTAAAAATATAGTTTTGACAGATTCATGTAACAAAACAGAGGGAATACATATTTCAATGTTCTAGCTTGGGAAATGTGTCAATTAACCAGTGAAGAAAATCGTTTAAACTGGTAATATGTGACAAGGTATGTTCTATAAAACTTATTTCTCAGTCATTCTGATGAGTTGATAAAAAGCAATGATAATTCATGAACGTTTTTACAATTGAATATTCTTTCTTCAAAATGTACTTTTGAACAAACACATGGACTTTTGTGACGCTTGCCAAACTGATCATCTTACTAAATTATTTTTAAATGCTGGATATTGTCAAGACTGCCACACAAATAATCGGTGCAAGTGCCTTAACACTATTCAATAGTAAGTGTAATTCAGGCCTAGCAACCTGTAGGTGATATATCAAATAAGATGTATGACAAAATGTATGTAATCCAAAGATGATGCTGGCAGAAATCCTCTCTAATTCAAACAACATTGCAGCAAATGTCTTTAGACTTACTGGTTAAGTCTCTAGCATTTTCAGCTTTTTAGAAAAAACACAAGTATGTTTCTTCTGCAATTGAAATATCAATTAGAACTTACCACATCATTAAATTGTAAAATTGTGGATTCGTACAGTTTTCCTGCAATAACGTTATTCCAGACAGGTTTACATAGTAACTTTAACCAACCATTTAGCCTCAGCATCTGAGCATCAGCAACACTTGACATTAGTATTATGATGCACTGCTTGATCACGAGCCACAAAGAAACAGGTTCAACATGATGATCTTGGCGCCAGTCCTCACATCAGATATAAAATCAGATGACAATTTGGCAAACTCTATCCCAAAGTCCTTTAAAGATCCTGTGAAAAAGATGTATTCACTTCTAGTTAAACTGTGACTTCTGAAAAATATTGAACATTTCAAGTCCGAATGAAGTCGAAAATAGTTGGCGTACTAACTTCTGTACAAGCAAAGTCATTGATCAGTAATTTAAATGATCAGTCCAGCCCATGCAAACTGTCCATTTTGCCTCTCATACATCATTAAATGACTCTGTTGACTGTAACATGATATTGCTACACCATTCGATCAGTATTGCCCCACATGGATGAAGAGCTTAATATCATCTGAAAGTAAACAATGACTGAGCTCAGTGCAAATGGAAAATGAAACTACTCAAGGAAACATAGTATAGGTCCTTAAAACACAAGGTGTAAAGTGACACTGGTGGATTAATAACATTGTTTAGGAAAGGCTGAGAGAAAAGTGGGTGAAATAGGGAATATTCATTAGTATTGCAACAGCATCGTAAGAGTGTACAAAATCAAAACAAAAAATCTCAAGATGTGTATAATACTGAGAGAAGCATGGAGGAAAGTGGAGTTATAATACACCTAGTATTTTACTCCTACAAAGTGAGCAGGAGCAGAGGTTGAAACACAAAATCCACCAAGTTGTGCTAAGAAACACAGTCACAAAATCACAGGGGAATCGATGAGGTGGGCGTGACAAAAGACCCTGCAAGCGTTTTTTTAAATCAGAGTTCACTCTTCAAATTACATTTACAGAATATATATATCTATATATTTACTGTATATATATTTATATACATACAGAAAAGATATTCCCCAAATCAAAAGGTACAGTAGACCACCAAAAATCAAATGATGCAAGGAAAACAAAGAAATCTGGAAAAGAAGCATCATTGTCTTATTTACAGATGCACCTGGCCACCCTTTACATACCTATAAAAATACTATCCACTTTTTATTTTTTTTATTTGTATAACAATGGTAGAACTATCCGGTGACCCATTATTTGAATGTCTTTATCATTGGGTTAAAAGACAATTATTATTTCCATTTTACACTTTTAACATCAATTCAATACATTGTAAACTGTGCTTTCTCAACCGCTGCCATCGACCCCAGTTATCATGGTATGGTAGAATATGCATATTAATCAGTGTCAAATATGAAGTATGACAGCCATACACAGTCTGATTCTTTAAAGATGTTAGCATTATGTGTTTGTGAGCTGCATTATAGTTTCCCTTTAAAAAAAATGTTTTTGATGATGTATTGACCAAAGCTATTAATGAGGATTTTATATTGAAGTTATCTGAAATGTAACATGGGTTGATCCAATACAGTAGGAGCATTTAGACCACAGGTGGATAGATATAACCAATGCTTTGAATACAAGTCTTCTTGATGTAAATACAAAGCTTACAAAAAGTAAAAGAGAGCACACTCTGTAAACACAATGGCTGTGTCCCAGTTCAGCTGGACCCTCTTTAGTGCCTATTTTTTGGCTGGATCTGTCCTGGTGGTCCAACAAGGTCTGTCAGGCATCCCTTTTCGTGAAGGACACACCTGGTGTATAATTTGAGGTCTTCAACATCAAATCACATTTACTAAACCATTGAACAATCTATTTTAGGGAGTGAACAAAGAGAATAGGTCTTCTGAGGGCAGCTTTTTGATAAAACTTGCAGAATAAATAAGTTGTTAAGATGACAATATGCACCTGAACAGCCATTAGTTTTGGTCATTTTTAAACTAGTTTAATTGTGTAGGTTCAGCCTGAACTTCAGACGGTGGATGGCACACAGAGCCCCTGACTTGGGACATAGCTAGGAATGGCTTCAACGTTAAGTAGAGAACATGACAGACTTGAGATAATGAAACCTTCAAACTGCATATTAAAAATAAAACATCTGCTGTGACAATGTGATACCCTGAATAGCAAACACAAGAGTTTAAACAACACCATTTACAATACTAATAACAACATTTCTTTGAAATATATTTAAACCCAAAACAAAAGTGGATGCAGAATAAAAAACGATAGCTGTTACTATAAGGCCAGTTTACTTAGTCATGAAAGGGAGTTATTGTGCTCCTTTAAATAACTACTGTGCCTGTGAGACTTTCTGTACCTTGACACATAATATAATATGTTTTCACATGAAACTATGACTCCTGTTAACATTTGACCAAAATCACTTCTCACCTCCAGATTGTTTTAGTCTTTGTTCGTGTTCACTCCACACATAGCTGCTTTTCGGTTCCACTTCTGTACAGCTGAACAGTGTTTGCTACATACAATTCACAGTCACCTCTGAGGAAAAAAGGAAAGGATGGCAATCTACTCTGGTCTCCTCTGCCAGTTACAGTGCACTTGCACCTTCTCTCCTGCTAGCTTTTGTAACATTGATGCATTGGTCTGGTAACATTTCTAGAATGCTAATGCCTTAGTTTTAGCCCCGCTGCAGGATTACAACCTATTTCCTGCCGTTCACGGTTTCTCAGCTGGTGCACTGGGTGAGATGTCGGGTAACATGATTTCCCAAAAGAACAAAAAGGGAAAGTGGATGAATTAGCATTCAAAAAGCTAAAATCCCCTTGTGATGCTCCGATACTGAGAGCACCAGCAGGTTTTCTACTTCACAAGATTGGCTTTATTTTTCCATAGAGATCCATTACGATGCCTTTGGGTGACTATCCACTGCTGTCATTGCACTTAAACAAACGGCCCAAAAGTAGTCTACAAGCACTGCAACTTATACCTAATGGGTGATGGTAAAAATAAACTACACATACTGACCTTAACAATCTAAACACATAGAGAGGATGCTGACAGACATTTACACAAAGACAGTATACATACATGAAATCATCAGAGCAAATGAACACAGCTTAATCAAGTTAGCAACCGAGCAATGTCAATGATAATTAACAGCGAGCTGACTTCAAGAACCATCTCCTCACACCTATAAAATTCACATTTGCACATTTCAGCAGTGTGTTTACTGTGGTATCAGGGTGCTAATCTATCTTCCATTATATGTTTTCTTCAATAGGTTTGATGTCCCATTTTAATGTGGCAACTTGTGTCTCAGCTGGAGCTCAACTGAATGATTATTGTTCCCCATAAAACCTGAGAAAGGGGGAGAAACACTGTGCCAGGGTGACATCTGTGTTTTGGACATGAAGTCATCAACACTGCTGAACTGAACCTTCCCTCTGCCTGGTATTTTCAATGTAGAGGCACAAGGTTGTGAAACAGTGGTTGTGTATTGGTATGCCAGCAGTGACACATACACAGGCATTAATCGGTCTCCAAATACATGACATTATCACCTAATACTCAGGGTGGGCGGTATGAATACAATCTGAAATAAGGGCATGTGTAGATCAATATTATTATTACAAATATGTTCTGTGCATTCAATTGAGAAACTGTTTATAGATGGAAATATCGTTTTTTGGTACACACCAACAATTGTACACGTCAAGTTTAATTTACCAATCATGATCTGTTCTTATGAAAGAAAACCGGAGAACAATTTGTGCTGAAGCTTTTGAGGGAACTTTCTAAAATTGAAAACAATTAAGCCAGGTGATATCAACAATGATTTCATCAGGTTAATATCTGCTTGGGCATAAGACTTTTTAACAAAAAGTCTGCATTAGAAACTGGAGGTAGGAGGTAAAATTACTTCATTTTTTCGACTGTCTCATTTGATTTGCTACACTTTATGGAAGCACAATGCCAAATCGCTAGAGTACCCATTTAATTTAGTGAATTATTATATAACTAGAAAATCAGGCTTTTGTGACATTGATGCAGAAATACAATTACCAAAATTAAGTATGTATTATAAAACAAGAAATATCAAAAGAGTAGCTACTTGGGTATACATTGTACGGACAATTGACACATTTGTTATTATACATTGTTATTATACATCGTTGATACTGTATCTCCCAACCCCAATGCATTACTATCATATCATTAATAAGAGTGGGTATGCTCCTTTGTAGGAAATATTCCTGATGAAACAAAGTCTGAGGTGCGAGCATCTCACTTTAAATTGTGAGTGCAAAAAAAGATGAATTGCCACTTAGAGCGATAATAACAGCAAAGTCATTTGGATGCGTCAGAGCATTAAGTGCTATTTAATGATCAACCCCAGCCTAAGTTAGGCTTCAAAGTCATTTGACAACAGATGCTAGTGGTGTCCATCAGAGTTAACTGTGGCATCCGGCAGTACTGAATGAGTACAGAAAGCTATAGCCATCAGTGGATTCAGTGATAACTTATAATATCTCACAAAAAATGTCAAATAACAATAGAAAAGAAGATTTCCCATTTTCTAATAGTGTCCATTTCAACAGCCTCTCTCTCTCTCTCTCTCTCTCTCCCTGTTCCACTTCCAAGCGCTGAGAGACAGAGCAAGGTAGTCGTGACTACTTGGTCAAAGTTAATTTTCAGTTTTTCTGACAAACAATAGTATGAACACACAGAGGTTCCCCCCCCCCAACAAGTTTATACTCATAATTTTATGTCTCAGCTCGGTCCACAGAGCTTTTTTCCAGGATTTGATTAGTCTTGTAATGACATGTAATTGGCTTATTTACAGCCCTGCAGGGTGAGCCTCATTGCCAGAACTACGTTGCTCATTTGTGGCTTGGTGTCTGTGCTCATTGCGTTAGTTTAAGAAAAAGAGACAAAGTAAACAGATCCCTGATGGAAAAGAAAAAAAATGAAAATAATCTCTGATCACGATTCTAAAAGCGTATTCTTTTTCGTTTATATTCACCATCGTCACTCTCCTTTCCCTGTTGAAATATATGTCAATACCATGACACTGCATACACCATTGGTATCATCAGTCACAATGCTGCTTACAATGATCTTATGAAGGTAATATTGAAGTGGATGGTGTGCTGGTTGTGGATGACAGGGGGACAAGAGTGACGTGGGAAGTTCAGCGTCGTCTTCGGAGCGAACAACCTTATAAATCCCAGCCTAGCTATGCCAATAATCTGCAGAATGCTTTCCACCAGGTACTTGGTTGATATCAGTTTTTCATAAAACTGTGGTGACATTTACTTTCCTGTTCACCCTTTTCCCTGCACTGCAACACTGACTGCCATTATTGGCAAACTCTGTGTTCCAGCACAAGGTCAATTGAGCTTCTCCTCCAGAATATATTTCCAGTGCCAGCGAGCTTATCTGTCAGTATGCATGTATATACTTATGAATGAATGTATGGATATTATTGGTGTGTCAAGGCTCCAGGCATGTTAACATGTTTTGGGTATGATATGAGCTGTGTGTGATAAATGTTTGACTTCCATTACTGGTGCAGCAACATGTAAAATTCAGAGAAGCGTGTGGACATGCATGCAAGCCACATCTGGGCTCTTCTGCTTGACTGAGGGTTTGCTGGTGAGTCACAACACAACGCCATGTGCGTGTGTCATTGTATAGATTGCACACAATAGCAATGTGTGCATCATTATAGGTGAAATATGTGCTAACGAAACACATGGTGAACTGTAATTAATGGGTGTACAAAGAAAAGCATGAAAGGTCAGGGCAATAATTCTCTCTTTGGGCTAACCTCAGTTCATGTCTCCTTTTTTTCTGATTAAACATTTCAATTATTTCATTGTGTTGTTGTTGTGCCTCTCTGATACTTGGGATGGCAGGACAGTGTGTTCCACAATGGAACCAACATTGAAAACGTGTCTACTTGCTTTCATGGATAGAGCTAAAAAAGTCAAGTGAGGCTGTCAGTGACTGTTATTGTAGTCCTGTCAAGACAAGGCAGAACTTGAGAGTGAAACTAAAAGACTTGCAGTTCAACATAACAGAGAGACGTGTCCAGGAAGGGTGCAAGGAGAACCCAGGCTGAAAAGTACTGCATGGAAACAAGAGGACTGTTTATTTATCCCCCTCCCTTCCCTCTATTCATCCTTCATTGTGCTACAGGTGGGTCACTACACTACAGTGTTCCTCTGCCTGTATGGGGGGGGTGGCAACACATTGCCGGCTTTCATAGCGGCCTCGGACAAGTATTCCTGGTTTTCGGCCACAGCGGGGCGAATGCGTCCATTCTGCCGGTAGAAGAAGCGCGTGCTGCAGTCCTGCAGGTACTCAGGGTTGTGCAGTGAGGACTTCGGGGGTAGACTGTGTTGCCAGTATTCAGGATTGTCAAAAGTGGCCTTCTTGCCTTTCTTATCAAACATTATGGTGCCGCTGGTGATGCCTGAGTGCAGAGCGTGTCCTGAATGGCCCGGGTGCAGGGTGTGTGATGGATACGATTGGTGGGGGAGGTGGCCAGGGGGAATCACATATCCAGAGGTGGAGACCACGTGGCTTGACGTTGATGGGTTGACCGCCTGCGATATTGATTGAGCAGCAGAGGACCCTGGGCCAGAAATGGACACTGCGCCAGCCAATCCGTTCTTGTCCCCAGGGTTGAGGAAGGTATTCAGGTACAGTGGCTCATTGATATACTCATCGTCCCCGTGAGTGGACTGGCTCTTGGTTGCAGCAGCAGCTCCAGCCATGTGCAGGGTGTGGCAGCCGGCTCCATCAATCACTGCATGGGCGTCACCATTCCTACGGCGGGTGACGAAGGGGTTTTCCTCTACTGGGTTGAGATAGTCTGCAAACAAACAAAACAGTCATAAACTATACAACAGTATTCATTTCCGTAGCTTTTGGGTTTGCTTATCATATCTAATGTGCAAAGAAATAAACTCAAATCAACCTGAGTTGTTCTTGTCTCTCATGGCAGTCATGTAGCCTTCCTGGTCCTTGTCTCCTTTTACTCCTCGCTCTGCTAAAAGACCTGTGGGATCGGCACTGTAACGCTGTCCACTATTGTCCTCCCCTCCACCTTTAAAAGGAAAAAGACATGATGGATTTTTTTAAAGAGTATGATACTTAATTAAGTGTATCTCCATGAATCATGGACATGGATTTATCTTGTCATCTAAAGCCTTCAACGTTATTCACCATAAACCAGAATAACACATTCATTTAATTCTTGTGTGCTGCTATATTTGTTCTGTGATTACACCCTCAGGGCTATTGCTAATGTCAAACGCTTTTTATATTATATTGATTACAGGGTATTATTGACCTGAGATGCACTTCATTATTCATCTGTTGACAGTAGATAGATCACTATCGGTACCTGAATAGACAAACTCATACGAATGGGTATAGTAGGTATAATACGTAAAGCTTGTACGGTTACATTTTCAGTTTCATCACCCAATTTATTTTGCAAAGGGGGCATAAATAGGTCCCAAAAAGGCTTGTAAACAGGCTCAACACAACTAGAGGCTGAAACTGCTGCTGCTTCTCTGCCTGAGAGGTGTAATATGTGGTTCAGTTTTGCCAGACAGCTGCTCATTACAAGCTTAGCCTTTGCGCTCATCTCCCGAATCCTCTGCTGGTGAAGTGATCCATCATCACAGTAAAAAACAGTGAGGGAACAGCTGATAGGTTGGGTTAAAGAAGGGCGAGGGCCTGTCTGCTCGCTTGAAGGTGGTTTTCATTGATAAGTTATTGCAGCAAATGATGGTATTTATAATTCAAGGATTTGCTTATACCAGTAATCACAGTGTATTGGCATGTACTAGACACGCTGGGAGTGTGGAGAAAGACTATGTTGTAGGATGCAGGGCCATACAAAAAAGATTGAAATGAATAAAAATGTACTGAAATTATTAAATAACAATTCATAACTGACAAAAGAAATATAATAGTAAACATCACCATAAGCTAAAAAGGTTATTCAACAACCTAAAATAGTAAAAAAACAAACAGTTTTAATACATCCATTCAATTTAAAATCATTGACCCTGAGAAAACCTATTTGTGGACTGAATTGTCGACAACAAGTCAGCTTTTTCGTATACCAGCTGTTTTGACATCACACCCGCATGACACACAAAAAAAGTATTGGTTTTAGGAAAGTGCCATGAGACTATGTTAATCCATTAAGAATTAATTGTGCGTTTACGTTGCAAATACATTGCTTATGTAAAGAGGAATATAATTGGGAAATGTTAAAATTATGCAGGAGAGTGGATCAGCAAGCAAAGGCAATTTTCACAACATTGTTCAGAACTAAGTGTTTTATTGATTACCAAAACATTTCCGAATACAAACTTTAGTCAAATTTCTAAAATAAATCGATTAAAACTCTAAAGCCTTCCATCAAATATATGAAAGACATTTCCAACAGCTCAATTAACCTATGTCTTGGTTTTATAATACTGTTTCTATTTCAATATGGATCAGTTTCAGTCTTTACCTTGTCCAGCAGTGAGCGCTGAGCCCGGCACGAGGTTGCCTGACCTCGGGGAGGCCTGCTTCCTCAGGGTTCCATTGCAGCGAGGGTCGTCCAGGTTACCGCGGCCGAATCCAACACCAATCTGCCCCCCTAACGACTGGTCCTGTGGTGGGAGGCAGACCCCAGAGACAGAAGGTACAGAGACCACTCTGGGGAGGGTGGCCATAATGTCCTCCATGCTGTAGCTGGGGTCCTGGTAGCCATACTGGTTCTGGGGAAAAATAAAGAGGGGACAGGGATGTCACAATAAACAAGAATAGCCATGAACCACGCCAAAGCAAACCTTGAGACAGTGGGGAGTTATTGCAAAGTTTTTTTTTTTGCTGTTCTTCTATTAATTGTCAACGTTCAGCTTATTTGCCAGTAAGTAAATACATGTTGTATTTTCCAGTCTTTGATCTACAATGGTTCTGAGAGCAGGTTATTGAACAATCAAACAAACATACAATGTACTGCAATAAAATAAGCAATTAACACATACCATAGAAGGCATTGTTAATAATAAAACGTGTTTGTGCATAAAGTCCATACAATAGACACATTCCTTGTACCATTGTTCATCTGTAATATTTCAATGTGACAGGCAGGGGAGAGAAACAGCAGTGCCAAACAGTGATATGGCAGCATGACTGCCAAGGACAATTTAATTAAAAGGATTTTAATTAAAAGGCTCCATGCAGCAAAGTCTTAAAGTAGCCATATCGGCCCTGCCGTGCTGTGTGCATTTGTGTCTAGGCTCATAACAAAAAAGGGGCTCTTTTGTAGAACCTCACTGGGTGCTTTTTCGGATTTATCTTTTATCCCTCGATTCCAGAAAAAGTTAGTTTTTTGTTTCAAATTCCCTTTCTTAGTTTCTTCTGCATGGCCCCCTGAGCTCTGAGCAGATCAAAAATCCCCTGTGGCACTTATTTCCACTTACATACTAAATGAAAGACAAAGAGGGGAAACGTTTGTGGATTACTGGTCGGTGAATGAATAGGCAGATTAAAATCCCATTTCTGATCAAACGTTTCCTCTTAATTTATTCATCAGGTTCCCTTATTATTGATGATTCATTGGCATCCTGCATGGCACGAGAAAGTGGTGCCACAGGCTCAACAGGGATACGGACCCACATAGCCTTTTATCACAAATTAGAGATGGGTCAGTCACTGATGTGTAGTATGGGTGACTCACAGGATGGCTGCTCCTTGTCTACTGTGGAGGTTGTAACACCACGACTAACCTTGCCATTAATCGCGATGCAGTCTTTTTAAAATTATAATTCTTGCAAATTCTGAACTGTAATTGTTTGACATGTGGATGGGTATTAACAAATCACATTGTCTTTCTTTGGCAATAATTGATTTCATTAAACTAATCACCATGATTTATGCGGATTAATGCAACTGTATCAAAAATAATCTAGTATCAGCCTGAATAGAAAAACGCCAAATCGTGGAGGACAAATTTACCAGTTTTATGCAAATAAGTCATCTGTCACCCCTCGAAATGCACCAAACAGAGTTGGAGTTGTCTCGCATTGGCATTCGGCAGGCGTTTTTATCCTGACACAAACACAGGGGGGGATATTGGAATACAAAATGGCTGAGTTGCCTGGCTGTGTGACTGGTTTTGTAATAGATTTAAGTCCAAAGATAGACGGACACGTTTGAACAGTTGAACAGTTAAAGAACTGAGGGAATATTGCTGTAAACACCAATTTTGAAGAAGACAATTACCATAGTTTCACAATGGAATTAGACCAAGGAAACACACGGAGAAAGAAAGAGGGAGATGAAAGTGAAACTTAGAAAGCTGTGTGAGTTCTGCTTTAAGATTTCAATCGTTTGTGCTTCAACAGGAGAGTCCTGAAGTACATGCTGAGAAAATTCATTTCCACATCACTTTAGGGAACATCTAAATGTTCTGAATCACTACTTTGAGTTTACACCGTCTTCTTTCCATCATGATAGTCACCCTGCTGCCAGAATCAAAAGAAAAAGATAGTCAAACATGTAATGTAAAATGACAATAAAAAATGTCTGGCTACATTTTGGGTAACTAGTAAAACATGTTTACATGCTTCAGTATTGGAAAAACAAATTATTTTCACGACACTAATCCTGAATTAACCCTTTGGGCTGGAACAATACTTTTGAATATCTGTATCTTTAAGCTCCCCTCTGATTGGTCAGTGTTTCCGGGTCTTTTTCCGTAGATTGAGCCTTGTGATACTTTGACAGTATTCTTATAGCTTCTTTACCCGCTTTATAATAAAAACATAAATGAAATCTCACTTGTTACAATATGAGACCTAATACAGGGGTTCCATTTTGTCCAAATATTCATACTTATTTGGGCCAGAATGCATAGGATGGATTATACATCAGTAACTGAAGTTTATTCAGTGTTTATTATAAGACGATACCTTGTTAGAGTCCATGTGTGCTCGGGGAGTGTATGCCAGAGGTGGAATGTTGTAGGAGTGCGGCACCAGGTACTCCTCAGCGTCCATCAGGTCCTCCAGCTCCTCCTCGTCCAGGAGGCTCTGGAAGAACTTACTGTCGTTTGGGCTGGGCAGCTTCATTCGGTCGTCACCCTGAATAAAGTTGTGTGTAGATAAGTGTCAACTTTGAGGCCCTTTGCATCCTGATTTGCATAATATATTTCAAACATTCACCTTAATTGATGTGTAATGTTATTTGATTTCTTCTAATGATGCACTTTGCGTTACTTTATCTGTCGACTAATTTCAGGCTGGCTCAATCGTTTAAAGTTTTACACACGGGTAGTGAAATAAGTACTTAGTGTATTTTCTTACAAAGGAATGAGGAAAGTAAAATGTAATTTGTAATAGAAAATAATATAATTTAAACTTTGTATACATTAATACAAAACAAGCACAGTCGAAAACTGGCCAGTTTTCACTTTGAAGGTAACTACTCTGTATTTTGGACGCATAGAACCGAAAGAATGTCATGATATCCTGATATTTGAGGTATGTCCCAAAGATTGACCTACCTGAATTACCAGGTATCTTTGGGGATCACGAGCCATCCGAGTGAACTCTGCAGCCAGCTCCTTGAACTTGGGCCGACTGTCTGCATCAATCATCCAACCTGAAGAAAGTGTTTATGTTAGTGTCTGACTAATATGATGTTCTAATACATATTGAGATATCTAAACCTGTGAATACCTGATATTATCTCTTCATTAAGTCTGTACATTTAAATTGGACCTTGTAACCTGCAAAAACAGTATGTTGTTCTCTGAGGTAAACCAAAGCCTCATCTACACCAACCAAGGTCCAGTTTCTTCCTGACTGTGAACCAATAGCATTTAAGTGGGAGGAAAGGTGCATGTGTCAGTGTTGATCAGGCAGAGCATTTCTCTATTCTTCACACTTTGGTGTCAAAGTTTCTGCCTACGCAGACCATGTCAAATATATATATACATCCTTTGAGCAATATTAACATACTTTGCATTGGAACTACATGTGAATGTGACTGCATTGTGAGCTACTAATGAGTTAGAGCGAAGCCTGTGTAGAACAGCTCCTTTACCTTAGTAGTTATTAGACGGCATTCCTTATAATCCCAGCCACTCATTCTTACTGTGCCAAAGTTATGTTACAAGCATGTGATCACACATTAACTAACATTCAGCCAAGCTATGTATGTATATATGTATATATATATATATATATATAAATATATATATATATATATATATTTNGAAGCGACGTCCGTTTGTGATGAAGCTGCACAGCTGATCGTCTGACAGAAGCCAGCTCTGTCCCCGTTATTTCCACACACACCCCCGCCTCTGTTAGTACACATTTACTGACACAAACATTGGTATCATCTGTTGTAGACCCAAATAAATAAAATAAAATAAGAACTAATTCTCAAAAAAGATAAACTGTCACGATTCTCATGTCATGTCACGTTTCTATGTCTAGGTTTGGGTGTTTTTGCTGTTCTCTCTGTCATGTTTTCCTCCTGGGTTATTGTCTGGTCCTTTTCCCTGTGTTTTTCCTCCTGTCGTTAGTTTCCCTGGTGTGTCTAGTTGTCTGATTGTGTTCACCTGTGGCCCTTGTGTTTCTCCTCCCCTGCCCGGCTGTTTCTCGTCTTGTGATTACCCCTCCCTGTATTTAGTCTTGTCTCTTCCTGTGTTCAGTGTTGGTTCGTCTTTTGTTGGTGACTGAGTTCTCCGTGGAGTGTTTTGTTTGTCCATGTTATATATTAGCCCCTGAAATAAAGGTATTATAAGTGTTATCTGCGTTTGGGTCCTGCCTGCTTCACTCCTCGTATCATTAAGTAACGTAGGGCAGAAAGAGAACATATGTTAAAAGAGAAAAGGACAAGGGGAGAAAGGACAATGTGACAATGAATAAGTACAGAGAAGATTAAGAGTTGAGATGAGGGCTTGGTTAAAAAGAGAAAAATAGAAGATGGACCAGAACAACAAAAAAAAATTAAGAAAAATTAGAAAATAAAGAACAAAGAGAAAAAAGTTGGAAGACAAAATAAGGAAGCAACAAAACAAAGAGTAAAGAAGAGAAGACAAGACAAGTCCACAGAGGACAGAAGATGAGTGGAGGAGAGGAACTCATCACAGTCTTGAAAGTCATCAGTCAATCAGAACTTTCAGAGCTCTTCAGCCTTAATCATGTTAGTATTAATGAGTGGTTAGAAGAGTAAATGCACACTATAAGATGGAAGTCTAATAGCTCCCGGTCATAGAGGACCACTGGGGACACGGACACATTAAACCATACTGATACTTTTAATCAAACAGACATTATTCTCTTTGATACGACCCATCTTGCATCATTTTTTTCAAATTACTTTAAGAGTCATTGGTCATCTTAAACAGGAAAAAGAGCAATAAAAACCTCATAAAACTGGTAGTTAATGGAGGATATTGGACTCTGGATAACATTTTTGCTGACAGGCTGATGGCTTCAAAGACTGATTTTTAATGCTTAAGTACTTAAAAAAGTAGATCATCTTGTTTACATTTCACAGTGCGTGTGATTGCCACATGTTCAGACAGTTACACAGGGATAGGAAGAACTCAACACTCACTTCCTGTTCATCAGCAAAACCTTCTACAGCTGCTTTAGTTCTATAAATTACCTGCTTGTCTAGCAAGCAGTCTGGAGTTTATTGTGCGATAGCTGCATGCCATATGCCTGGTTAACTTTCTTCAGAATGTACAGCTTTCCTATCTTCTTTTTAACACACACTTTTTGTCTGCCTACATTTTAGTATATTGCTTGTGTTTGTTTTTCAGTGCTTTTCTTTGCAACCAGTGTGCTCTCTGTCTGGACGATTGTTGATCCTGTCACTCAGTGGACCCTCTGGTTGCCAATCTCATTGGAGGCTCTCTGTTCTGACCCCACTGTGGAGAAATGAACTCCACACTGCAGTCAGGACAGCACCGTCACTGCCCATCTTCTGCCTCAGGCTGAAAAACAACCTTTTGAGACTATAGTACACAACAGTTATTACATTGCATTTCCTTTATAAAGAAACTCAGGCAAATCAAGTGTTTTTATTTGTAGAAATAATTTAAAACACAATGAACTAATTTAAAGTAACAATACATTGGTAAATAATATGTAAAGGCTAAATTAACCATATTTTTTTTTTAAGAATTAGTGGAATTAAAAGGAGTAAGATGGAGGATGTAATTCAAATTTCCAAAATAGAGAAGATGTTTTGTTAGCAGAATTGAACATGGCATCCACATTTGGTATATAGACATTTGAAAACAGAAGACAAAGAACACCATTGCCGTAGCTATTTGCAGGACCAATGATGAGGCTTTGTGCTTTATTCTCACAAAGCTGGATAATTTCTTTGAGTATCTAGCTTTTGACTGCCCTTTAAGGCTTGTTCGTCAGCACTTAACATTATGTTACTAATTTGTTTAGAGGGCATGCACACACAGCAAAGTCTTGCTCCCATAGAGATTGAACACACAAATTGAAAGTCACTTTGCATATAGCTATAAAATAGGTCTGTTTTACATATAACATTTTTGAGGCTCTCATGGTTTTCTACATCATCCAGGTACCCAGAAGGTAATGTTTAATGCCTACCGTAACTCCAAACGTCACTCTGATGAGTAAACTTCCTGTAATGGATACACTCCAGGGCCATCCATTTGATGGGCATCTGCCACGTAAAAAAAAGCATGTTAGTTTTTCAATCTCATGATAAGTAAACCAACTAAATACGTTTTGACAACAAACAATACTTTTAGGTAGAACAAACTGCAAAGAGAAAAAAGTGGAAAATAGTTTGATGAAAGAGAAGACAAACACACACACATGCACACAAACTCCAGCTGTATTGGCAGTCTGCAAAGCAGCTTGACTCAATTAGATTAGAAGGCCACTTCTATTGTGTGCAGTGATGGAGGTTGAGGGGAGGGGGGTGTCGAAGGTTAAAGTGTGTCTGTCTTTCTCTCAGTGCAGGGGATAATATTAGAATGCTCAACATTGAGACAAACCGTTACACACAAAAGAATGAGGGATGAAATAGGCTTTCCTGCGAAACAATGGTTTAAAAACAAAATACAAAGGAGGAAAAAAAGGGTGAACAAAGATTAAAAGAGGCTGGCAGCCGAAGTACAGAGAGCTCCAAGGACGTATTACGTTAATACCGTTCTGAGATTCGATTCCCCAAAAGTAAATAAAACGGTCCAATAGAGCAGAAATGTGTCTCACTGACTCCACTAAAACTGTCTTTTGTGATCGGCAAAGTTCCTCCCTTAGGAGATAAAACCAAATGTAATGTTGTTGCCTGTTGCTGTATTTACAACCATCAATTATATGGTCTAAAATAGTAATTCAATAATATTGTATCTCGTCAAGCATTTCAAACCAAACAAAACAAACTACAGACAATAAAAAAGATAACAAGGTCATTCATAACAGGCTCAAATGACAAAACAGAAATATCAAAGTCCTAGAGTAAAGCAGGGTTTGATGACGTGAGCAACAGGCCTACTGCTAGACTATTGCCACTTTTCCTGAAACGGAAATCATTCAAAAAGTTAAAGAGACACATTGCATTTCATAATTGCCTTCTTGCTTAAAGGAAAAGTCAATGCTATTCTGATATCTGTTTATTCAAAATAAGGAAACAACCAGCAGCTACTGTAGCTGTGCTCACTGATGAACAGGTTGTGTCTCTATTGTCCTTTAATCCTTACAAAAAACAAAGTCTGTTAAAAAGGTTTTTATTTTCAAATGATTGGCCTAGAGCAGTGACTTTCTGTAGCCATGTGTCACTGTGAGGTTGCCAACATCCAGATATGTGTTCCTTTCAGACAGTGTGTCATTTGCACGTATTAAACAGCTGGACATTGGTGTTAGGTCCAAACAGCAATGTACCAACTGTACAGACGTTAGCTTAAAGCTAGCTAGCAACATACTTACCAATACCAAGCCTCGAACATTTTTGCACTGTAGTCTTTCTTTTTGTTTCCTCTAATTTTTGTATTTTCATGAAGACAATTTATAGAGAATAGGGATAAGAGGAAAACACATTTTTGTTGATATTTACTAGCTTTTTTTATCCATTGACTTTGCTTGCAATTGCACCACCTTTATAAATATATTACAATACTTAAAAAACATTTATCACCTTTCCTCCATCGGCGTTATATTCCTTCTCATTAACATCCAGGAGGCGAGCCAGGCCAAAGTCGGTGATTTTGATGTGGTTGGGAGATTTGACCAAGACGTTTCGGGCTGCCAGATCCCTGTGGACCAACCTACGCTCCTCCAGGTACATCATCCCCTGCAACACACACACACACACACACACACACACACACACACACACACACACACACACACACACACACACACACACACACACACACACACACACACACACACACACACACACACACACACACACACACACACACACACACACACACACCGATTACTTTCAATCAAGACCATGCACCTCACTGCAGGCATGAGATGAGGCATGCTCATATGAAAGTCTGACGGCTGTTCAACATCACCATCTGTCTTCATCATCATCATCATCATCATCAGATTAGAATTAATTTAATTATTTGTGTCA